TGGGGATCACTCTCACCCCTCAGCAGGCCCAGGCTCAGGGGATCCCTCTCATCCCTCAGGAGGCCCAGGCTCAGAGGATTCCTCTCACCCCTCATCAGGCTCAGGCTCAGGGGATCACTGTCACCCCTCAGCAGGCCCAGGACTTAGGGATCACTCTCACCCCTCAGCTGGCCCAGGACTTGGGGATCACTCTTACCCCTCAGCAGGCCCAGGCTCAGTGGATCACTGTCACCCTTCAGCAGGCTGAGGACCTGGGTCTCACCCCCCAGCTGTCTCAAACTCAGAGTATCCCACTTACTCTGGAGCAGGCTCAGGTATTGGGGTTTCCTCTTACCTTAGAAGAAGCCCATACCCTGGAAATCCCTTTTACCCTTGAGAAAGTCCAACCTTTTAGCGTCCCTTTCACCACAGAGCAGGTCCAGTCTGCAGGTATTACTGTCATGTCTGAGCATGACCGGAAATCAAGAGCTTTTCTCAAAAAAAGTGCTCTTCCTGTTCTTAAAAAGCACACCACATCAGATCCTTCTGCTTTTAGACCATTTCAGGAATTGATGCCTTCTCTCCTTACTGGGCAATCCATTAAATCAAGATTGTTTCCACGCCCTAGGCAGTTCCTGGGATCAAGTGCTTCTATTGCTGAGAAGTCCTCTACACCTGAGGTATCTTCTACTCCTTTGCAGATAGTAAGGCCTCCTCTCACTCAATGTCCCTTTACCCCTAGGAAGCCCGTAGAAATGGAGAGTCTTTCTGACCCTCAGAAACTCCTGGAATCACAGACCCCAACTTCTAAATCTAGACAGACCCTCATATATAGAGGTCGATCCACTCCTGAGCAGTTCCTGGCACCAGAGGTCCCCCCTACCTATGGGCAGCTCCCAATATCTGGGGCCCCTTCCACTCCAGGGCAGACCTTTAAACTGGAGGTCCCCAGCTCTAGGCAGTTCCTCATACCTAGGGACACTCTGACTCCTAGGCCACCTTCAGTATTGAAAGCCCCTCCAGCTCCCAGGCAGCCTCTTATATCTGCAGTCCCCCGCACTGTTGGACAGATTCCCAGTCTCTGGACTTCTCTCTCTCCTAGGCAGCCCTTGGTTCCTAAGACCTCTTCCATCCCTGAACAGCCCCTGGAATCAGAACCCTTAATCTCTGAGCGGCCCCAGGCATTCCAACCTCCTGTCACCCCTGAGCAATCTCCCTATCTCCAGACCTCTTCTACTCTTGGGCAACATCAGACACCATGGACCCGTCCAGGGCAAGGTTCCCCATTGTGGATGTCTTCCATTTCTAGGCATTCCCCTAGAACTCTGGTCCCCCCAACTCCTGGAAAACCCCAGAAAGGTTTGTCCTCTTCTGTTCCTACAAAAAGACTGACAGTTATTTCTTCTTTGAAATCTAAATCATCATTGATCTATCCCAGTGCTCCAGATTTCAAGGTAACTCAAGCTCCTTTTGCCACTAAGAAAGTCCAAATATTAGAAGACTCTGACACTTATGAAGAAACCCAAATACCCCATGATACTTTTGCCATAGAACCATGGAGAACATTTCAGTCCTATCTCACTAATTATAGGACACCTGAAGCACAAACCCCTTACATTGATAAGGGAATTGCTCCCACTCTCATGAAGCCTATAAAATCACTACCTTCTCTTACTAGTCAACTACTCAAAACATCACAGATCTCAACTTTGGAACGGGCCCAGAAATCCCGATTCCCCTCTGTAGACAAGACCCGGCTACTGACTTCAGATACAAAGAAACCAGAGATAATGGTGCCCCCTTCTTCTCCCCAAGAGATTGAAGAGAAAAGGTATTTTATTGATGTGGAGGCTCAGAGGAAGAACCTGATACTATTAAATCAGGCCACAAAAACTTTTAGACTCCCTTCACAGCTATACACAACAGCTAAGAGCCTCGTAATTGAGACACTTCATATGGACGCAGTTCGACTTGGATACTTATTCCGCAAGTACATTGCCTATAGGCTGATCCAGAGTGCCAGGTAAATGTAATTATTATATATTCAGCCCTCTAGTGTAGTTCTGATTTCAAATATTCTCCCTCATGTCCTAGGAATATATTCATATTTGTCAGATTCTCTTACAGAAGATCTGTCAGATGGAAGCCCATTTAAGATAGAAAAAGGAGACTTTCTTTTTCTTTTTTGAGACAGAGTCTCACTATGTCACCCTTGGTAGAGTGCCATGGTGTCATAGCTCACAGCAACCTTGAACTCTTGGGCGTAAGCAGTCCTCCCTCCTCAGCCTCCCAAGTAACTGGGACTACAGGTGCCCACCACAATATCTGCCTATTTTTTGTTGCAGTTGACATTGTTTTATCTGGCCAGGGCTGGTTTGAACCCGCCTGCCTCTGTGTATGTGACTGGTGCCATACCCACTGAGCTACTGCCACTGCCCATTTTTTCTGTTTTTAGTAGAGACAGGGTCTCACTCCTGCTAAAGCTACTCTCAAACTCCTGAGCTGAAGCAATCCTCCTGCCACGGTCTCCCAGAATGCTAGGATTACAGGCATGAGTCATGATTATATCTTAGGTATTGGATAACTTAGGTACTGGTTTATAAAGAGCTTATTTGTTTTATGGCTGCATAGTATTCTTAAGTCTACATTTATCAGATTGTATTTAAACTCCTATGGACATTTATGTTGTTTTCAATATTTTGTTCTTATAAAAATAGATATCAATGAATAATCATATATATCATTATATACATTCTTATATATACATATATATAATGTGTGCAGTCCCAGAAATAGAATTTAGAATTTCTTGATCAAACAGAGCTTTCAAGAGTGTTTTAAAGTACCATTTACATTTATGTACTCATTTCTGAAAAGCTGCAAAACATTCTCAATCTTAGTCAAATTCGTATTTTTACAGTCTCTATTCTTATGTAACTCAGATTACCAAAATGTGAATT